TCAAAAGTTCAATAGTTTATTTATTTAAAAAAAATCTGAGGGACTTAATCATTTAAATAATAATTTATTAATAGGAAAAAATTATTTTAAAAAATTAATTATTCAAAATAAACAAATTTGGTGGTTTTATTATTTATCTATGGATTTCCCCAATACTATAGGATGCTAAGTGACATGAACATGTAATATTAAAATCTACTACCTTATAAATTAGATTTATCAAAAGTTATAAAAACATTTTTTAATGCATAAAGTACTATACATTTATACACAAAGTCTTAAAAGTCTTAAAAACAACTCATAATGTATTAAGTACTACTATTTTATGCATTCAGTCTTCAAATCTCTTAATCTAATTAAAATAACATATAATACAAGTTACCAATGCACATCATTTTTTTTTTCATGTTGCCAAGATACTTTTGACACTTTTTACTAATGTCTTCACCCTCTCATACCTCTATGTCTTCTCTCCAACCCCCAAAGTGAGAGTCAAACTGATATTCATCATGAGTTATTAAAAACTCTCTCATTCAATTGCTCTAGAACTCTCGGTCTCGCTCTCGATGCCTTGATTCTTTGCTCTTCGTTTAAATCGAACACATTTGTGGAGTCATTTAAATATGTTAGATTTTAAACTGTCATGCAATTTTTTTTATCGATAGACTGTAATTGGAACCACAACTCTTATTTATTCAAATTGTATTAATATGTAAAGACCAAATGTAACTTATATCATCGTTAAATTTTCTCTAATAAAACCAATGAAACTTAAAAATCATTAAAATTCACGGCTCCCGCCACATTGCACGGGTACACAACTATGTTGTAATAATCTAAATTTCATCCATTTTCACGCGTACACCCTCTTATGTCCAGTCCTACTATTATGACGTCAGCGTTTTTTGCCGGATCAGTTCCATGGAAGGATGGCTAAATAATTTTTAAAACAAAAAAAGCTCCCATATACACACGTGTGTATATATAATAACAAATACCGTCTCTAAATCTAATCCAATGATTATTCCTCCATCTCACCTACAACAAATTTAGAAGAGCTCGAAAACGTAACATATAAAGATTCGGTTTATATGGAAGCCGGAGCGGGAGCACCATGGATGTTTTCACTAGATACGGGACCCGTGGCAACACCGGAGCTCAAAAGCTCGACCATGGCACGACGAGGGTTGCTTCGCTGCTTCTCACACAATTCTGGTAAATATACTCCTGAAAAATGGTATATATTGAATATTAATTACACATGTAAATTGACGATAATACCCTTTTTGGATCCTTTTTAATATTGTTTTGGTCACGGTCATGGTAGTTCATATGACCCATTCAAAAGTAACTAGAGATACCGACTTCATAACATCGTGCGTGTTACCAATTTTTCTTTTTTAATCAAGAAAAAGAATATAAAAAACTTTAATATAATTTTATTTATTTTATTCGTTCTAAGATTTTATTTGAAAGGTTTTGTTTATATGACGTTAAAAATCTACGTTAAAAATTAAACGGGATAAACAAATGAATCTTTACCTTCACCGGCGGCCAGATTGAAATAAAGGTCGACGATATTGGGGCAGTTTTGGTAGCAAGCGGGCGAGCAGATCTTGGAGACGGATTGTGCTTCGAGCAAAGAATCGGACGAAATCCCGACCGAGTTGCGATCAACRCCACAAGCCTTAACGCATTCGTCRGTCTCTATATACTCCGCCATCCTCTCCACCACCACTTCCGATGTTGTACATTGATATCCCGTCTTCCCGTTATTGTTCTCAAAGTTCTCCAACAAACATCTCTTCCCGGACGACGCAATAGAAAATGAGCAAACCTCTGTTGGCAAATCGTCGCATACAATCTCACCTGAAAAACAAACGATTGATTCATCACCCACCGATCAAAGAACGATCTGAGGAATTCATTTTATATAAGAAAATTGAACTCATTTATGGTGAAAGAGAGTTGTGATCAAGATCTGACGGTTGTAGTTGTGTTTAAGGAAATGATCATATGTATATATATACCTAGGGTTCCTTGAAGGAAGATGGCGGAAACAGAGAAGAGAACCAGGGAGAAGAAGAATGAAGAAGCCATGAAATTTGAGTTTTCTTAGTATTCGTGGAGTTTGAGGAGAACAAGTGTTGTCTTTGTGGTTTTAGGAGAATATGAGGATGTATATATATATATATATATATATATATATATATATATATATAGAGAGAGAGAGAGAGAGAGAGGGWKGGTTATTATACAATCCATGACATTTGTACAATCAATACAACTCAATCTCAACCGTCCATTTCATTTGATTAATATGTGATTTCATAGAAGTTTTGATTGTTTCCTAATAATATAAAGTATTGATCATAATTAATGAACTATATTCTTCTTCCATAAATATTCAAATCATGATAAATGAACTCTCATCATTTCCATAAATATCTCAATTTATTGGGTTGCATTGGTTGTACAAATGCAACATGTTGTATTTGAAACAAACTCTCTCTCTCTCTCTCTCTCTCTCTCTATATATATATATATATATATATATATATATATGCATATGTACATATTATTGGAAATTTGTCGGTTGGAAGTTAACCTTCCATCCCACATTGGTAGAAACTTGATTTATAGAGAAGCTTATAATGCTTTCTCTAGAAGTAGGCTTTGAACATGTTGGTGGACTCATGATGGGGGTCTTGAGTGGAAAACCCAACACATGCACGCGTGTGGGGGTGGGATTCGCAAAGGCGCACTTCGCACTAGAGCAGAAGGAGTCTCGTCCCGAGCTCTGAGTATCTTTTTAATAGAAATTCGTCAGGAGAATTATCAGTTTAGTTTGGATAATTATTATTTTTAATTTGAAATTAATCCGATTTTGACTTGGCTTTAGAGATAATGTTCGGTTGAGAAAACTTCTCCCCACTATCTCCGATTTTTTGGAGAATATCGTGGGTGGTTCTAGGGTTTCACCCAGTATTTATGAAGCCGTATCATTACACACACATACAAATACTGATTTTCTCTCCGACGAATACTGCTTCCGAGTTCTGCTTCTTTTTATCGTTTTCTATTTAAATCCTTGCTTTATATTCGTTTTTGGTTGCTGTTCATTAACGAATTGTGTACTGCATCAAATCCTAGTGCTTTGCGACTAGCAGACTCACAGCGGATTAAAGTGGTCGTATAAAACCTTAAAGGACGGGTTTCACCGTGCAGTTTATCATCCGAATCGACAGAATATTAAACATGTTGGTTTTATAATTTTTCGCATTGTATTTAATTTTCCCGTTCACTAAGTGAACACTCTGCTTCTACCCCTTTTTTATTGAATCTGTGTGAATTGACACGTATTGAGGTTTTTGATGAGTTTGAATTCTAAAAGATTTAACCTTTTTCGTTATAATATAATTAAATTTTATAAAGATTAAATCTTTATTTGGTATTTATTTTCTTATTGGATTTATTTTTTCAACATATATAGGAGTATAGGAGGTGAGAGGTGGCAAAGGGAATCGATGCTGTTGAGTGTAAGGATTTGAATGTATAGGATTTGAAAACAATAAAACTAATTTATATTTTTTTTATTACTTAAAACTCTTTCTAGTTGGTTACAAGTACTTTTATAAGCTAAAAAAGTGTATATACATACATATATATATATATATATATATATATATCAATTTATTGGGTTGCATTGGTTATACAAATACAATGAGTTGTATTTAAAACAAACTATATATATATATATATATATGGTTAATCAATTTTTAAAAATTCGATAGTTTATTTACTTAACAAAAACATGTTGAAGGACTTAATTATTTAAATAATGGTTTATTAATAGAAAAAAAATTAGTTTAGAAAGTTAATTATTTAAAATAAAAAAGTTTGGTGGTTTTTATTTATTTATGGATTTCCCCAACACTATTAAATGAGATGAACATATACTATTAAAACTAAATTATAATAAGTATGTTTTAGAGTAATTTTTCTTATCTGATTAACATGGTAAGGGTAAAAAATTTTACCCAGTAAAAACAATGATAAAGATAGAGAGTCTTATCCGGTAAGTGAGGGTGACGACTCTTACTCAGGTAAGTGCTTGCTGGGTAAATTGTTGCATACTCTACAATTTT